ATAAGTCAAAGGTCCTGCTCGACCATTGTTGGCTCCTCTTGGAAGCATGGGGGAAATGATTCCTCCGTGTTGACCCTGCTCTTTATAGTCTGGACACTGGCTCAAGTCCATCTGTTGGGGTCTCCTTGGCTTCCTTGATCAAGAGGTCAGATGGCCCACCACCATTACAGGACATTTTGCGCAATGCTCATTGTCCCTGGGAACTAATCGACCCAGGAGGGTAAGGAGCAAAAAGTGTCCTTTGAATCCCTCTGACCCAATTAGTATAGATCTCAAGGTATGTCTGTTAAACATCCAAGAAGTTTAGTTCCACCATTCTGGCATTTTTAATTACTGTGTGTCTTGCTGATAAATCTTGGGTAATGACCAGTTGGTCTCAAATAAACCTTATCTAGAGATATTTTTCTTGATCTATTATGTATAATTTGTCAGTAGATTGTAGGAATAATATGGTTCCCTCTGGTTTTCGTGACTAGCTAGGCATTGTTTCTCTCTTGTATCGTCTCCCCCCTCTATCATGGTTTATGTCAAATGCAGTATACACTAGAAAGAGCAGTGGACCGAAGGCCACCAGTACTGGATTTTTAAGTCCTTCTGGCCCATAAAAAGCTGTATAGCCTTGGAGAAGTGAAAGCCTCCTACAAGTAACATCTGTTTCCAGTTCTTTCTAGTGCTTAAGTCAGGCAATTTCAAAGTTCTACAGACATAGATAATTTCTCATACAGAATTAAATTGTCTAAGAATATATATTCCATTGGGTTTTAAAAATTATTAACAGTTGCTACTTAATTGCTCATACATTTATCCCTGCCTCATTTCTTCAAGTAGACTGCAAGTGTTTTAGGGAAGAGACCACTTTCACATACATCTTGCCTCTTTATAGCTTATATCACACAGTAGAGCTATAAATACGCCAATTGATGACTAGTTGCTTGGCCTTACATATTCTAATTTGGAGACAGAACCACTTGACTTTCTAGAAAACCCTGTCAAATTGGACATACTCAGGAGATTTCTCAGACCCTGCACACTTTGCTGAGGCTGCCCATGCCAGCTCCTCCAGCAACTCATCTGTACCCTCCACTTACTGTCCTAATCCTTATTAACTTATTTATGGTGTTTAAACATACTCCGAAACAGCCATCTTTCCCTCTCTCTCCCTTCCCTCTTTTCTTCACTGACCTCCCCCTCCCCTCTTTTTCTAATCTAAAGTCTGAAGCCTCCTACTAGGATTTAAGCTCTATGAAAACTTGAATGAATACTGCTCACGGTATAGGACCCATGCCTGGCACACAGTGGCCACAAATATCAGGAAATATTTACTGAATTGTTAAATCCACTTCTTAACTTAGTGCTACCTAGTGGAGACTGACTAATTAAAGAAATAAAAACCAAAAATACTTCATTCTTATGATTTACCTGCAAAGAGGTTCTACAAGGTCCTTTTCAAGAAAATCATGATCTTTTTTGACAGCCACAATGTTGATGGGAAACTGTGAATCTAAGAGAGAAAGGGAGAGACAGAGTTTTATGTCCTTTGCAGTGTCTGAACAACAACTCAGCCAACAACTCAGGTTACCAAGGTCTGCACAAATCACCGATCTTAACTGTTCATTATCATTGCTATTGGTGTTTAAAATAGCACCCGATTTTATTTTTATCACAGAAAATGCTTTTGAGAGTAAGTGGGAAATATGAATATAATCAAGTGCTTGACCTTGGGTAGCATTAAAAGCTAAGTGCCTGCATCTTTATGTTCATCCCTATCAGACACACATTGATGTGGACTTAGAGAAGAGCTTTTACATTCTTATCGTTCACCTACAACAATGGTCACAGACTATTATTATCAAGATTTCACAGAAATCTTTGGCAGTTTTTTTTCCTTCATAAAGGACATTTCCAAAAATACCCAATGTTCAATGGTATGATGTTCTCTTTTCTAGAAAAATCTTCAGTCATCCTCAAGTGTCACAATACTCAAAACAATTGATGCTATCCAAAGAGAAGAAATTCCAACACCATGATTTTTCTCCAAAAGATTATCCATGCCAACTAGGGAGGCCACTATCAATATTCAGAACATGGCATTAATTTTAGGTACCCCATTCATTAGTAAAACTCTGGCGATCACTTGGCATAGCAGCCAAGGTCACATTTAAATGTCAGTTCATTATCAGTGGCATGCCATCCTTTATTCTGAACCACTTATTCCTTGCCAGTTGTACTAAAGCTAATGGTTTCTAATTCTTCATGTGCATTGGAAGTAGAAACTATTCGCCTTCTGGTGAAGCAATCACTGCAACTGAATCCCTCAGGGTACCAGAATGAACACTACCTCAGTCTCCTGGCCAAGGAGTGTGTGTCATGGTGACAAGCACAGATATGGAGTCTGAGGAATAGAGTCTCTCTGGGTAAGTCACTTTACATCCTGGCATCCTTGCCTCCTCAACTGTACAATAGGGACAATATTCATCTACTTCTTGGTGGTTGTGAGAATATTTAGTGAACACTGGTTTTTGAACATCTGACACACAAGAAGCTTTGAGTCTATGGTAGTGACAGGTCCACTGCTATTAGCCTTTGGCTCTCCTTGTGGATTCCCGTATCTTAACCACACCTTCCTGATTTTGTGATAAATACTACTAGCAACAATCTTCAACAACTGAGCTCCAGCGTACCAACTGCTCACTGTTGGTTTGTGACTAATTCACTACACAGAAGGACAATCTACAAAGCAGTTAAGAAATGATTTTGTCTGGGCATGGTGGCATGATGCTTTTGATCCCAGCACTAAGGAGGCAGAGGCAGAGGTAGGCAGATCTCTGTGAGTTCCAGGCCAGCCTTGTCTGCAAAGTAAGTTTTAGGCCAGCCAGCCAGTGCTACTTAGTGAGACCTGTCTCAAAAAAAAAAAAAAAAGATTTGATTGATTATAATCTTATATAGGTGAATGAATTTGTTAACTATTAAAGAACCAATGAATGGAAGCATAACGCTGGCAAGAAAAGCCTTTTACTCAAACTCAGAAGACTGACACCTATAAACATAAATAAGGTATGTCTCAAAACAACTAGTTTTGAGGCTTCTAGCAAATTCATTAATAACTAATTTATTGTAATCTCAAGAAAACTGTGCGTAGTAAAGAAAAAACAAAAAAACACATGCAAGAAACTGTGGAAAGCTAGTCCCAGGGGAACTATGGAAGGGTGAGGAAGGGTTGATGGGAATCTGCAGTGGGAAGCAGGAAGTGGAGTGGGAATGGGGCGGGGCTCTCAGTTCCAGATTGATGTTGGGATAAGCTGGGCATTCCACAGGCTGAGGTGGAAAGGAAGCAAAGCAAAACATCTGAGTAAAGACCAGGAAGAAAGCACGTGCCACAAGGTCCACGTGGTTCGCCTTAAATGTATCTCTGTAAAGAATGAAGGAAGATTCACATACCCTCATACAGCTGAGCATACTGCGGGAACCCAGCAGCACGGAGCCAATCACATGCCTCCTTCGCCTCAATTTCTGAAAAATACAAGAAAAAGAACATTGTGAGTTCAACAGTCACACACGAGTACTATCAAGACGCTGGTGAGCTCTGCCCAAGCCACTATAAGGCAAAATTGTTCCCAGGTAAGTCTGTGTAAGTTGGTCTACCCAGAAATGAATGCAAAATGTGCAGGAACACACAGTACTCGTTTTGTGTCTACTGAGATTATCTTCACTATGGAACTGTAAGTCCATGGATGATAACCAACCGCAGAGGACAGAACACAAAGGCCGAGTGTCTGGCAGGGAAAAATATCTTATTTATATACCAAGGAACCAGGTGACTAAGGAGAAGAAAGACTTATAATAATCCTCTTTTTAATGGATTTTTTTAAAGTTTCAAAGATAAGCCTAAGCATATTTATTCAACGTTGCTTATTCTTTCACTCCAGATAATAAAACACAACAGGGTAGTCTATTTTCTCATGAAAAAAGGTATCACAAAAATCCAGTGTATTATCATTGTTTCAATTTCACTGATGGGTTCCAGTCCCCAGTATATTACAGGAAGATGCTCATTCTTCAAGCATATTAGAATGATTTCACACTCAGAGCATAGTGTGGAAAAGGATACTGAGACCTGAGTCTGATGGAGCTGCCAGAACCAACAGGGCCACACCTAAGAGGTTGGTAGGTCCTTTGGGTGAGTGTCTGAGAGGTGGGCATAGGAGCAGCCCACCCAAACACCTCTCTGGGGGAAGCTGTGGAGAGAGATGAGAGGAATTGACTGTGTGTAAACCAGGTCATTCTCTGACCTCGTGAATTCTGGATTATTTCACAACCACAACTCTGTTGGATAAACATCAGTCCAGGGGAAAGAAGTTCATCTGTCAAAAGTTCAGTTTCTCCAAACAAAATTAAACAGCCTATGAAGCAGTTCTCTACTAAAGCTCCCCTCTGCTGTTGGACAGCCAAGCATTGCATTTCCGCTTACTGGGATATTCCTTTTCCTCCAGAGACAAAGCTGCTAGAAAAGGCCTTTCTTGGGACCACTGAACAGACATGACCTACATTAACATGGGCTGCAGGATTGAGCTTGAATCCTTTTAATGAAAGCTTTGCATCCATCCAGCACGTTTGATGTGACAGAGCCATTTTGTGTGTTAAAAACAAAAAACAACCAGGTCATATGGTCAGTTCACTTGAAATTTGCTCTGTTCTGACTTTTTTCTGGTTCCCTGTCTAGAACTTGTAATGCTAACTATTCTTGCCCTTATTTCTCCTTCACATCCCCTGTTCACTAGTCAAGGACCTTCTTTTCTCCCTACAGATAAGAGTTATGCCATTTGGGAGTCTTTTAGATAGATCCACGGAAGAGGTACCCCAATTGCCTCACCCTGTGCCCCTGTTTAGCATGGTAGAAGCCAGAGTGGTCTGAGTCCCGATTTCCTATTGGCAATTTGGGTAACCCCTTCAGAGGATGGTTTGATAAGAACAGGAGGTAGGAACTGGCTAGGCAGTTAGGGTTAAAAAGACCCCAAAGAAAAGTAGCCAGTTTATTGGCTGAAAGTCAAAATGTCCTTGGGCCTCTTAGCAACTTACTATGCTCCAAAGGCCAAAAATGTCAGAAGTGTTTGGGAGCTCTTATCTAATCCCTAAAATCTTTTAGGGTTACCTCTTCGGGGGGGGGAAGTAGCAAAAAGCCCCATTAAGAAAAGAAAGAGAGAGAGAGAGAGAGAGAGAGAGAGAGAAGAAAGAAAGAAAGAAAGAAGGAAAGAAAGAAAGAAAGAAAGAAATATGGGAGGTGTTAGAGGGGAGGGAGTGGGTGTGGATTTGATCAAAATACCTTATATGCTTGTATGAAATTTTCAATAAAGTTTTTCTTAAAGTTAAAAAAAACAAAACAAACAAAAAAGCAGTCCAAAGGTCAAGTCTTAGCTCCAAAAGATGTATAAAAGCTACAGTCCTGTCTCAAGATCTGCTGAGACCTAGACTTAAATGTGTCCATAAATTTAGAGAGGCAGAGATTTTCTTGGCATTCCTAACCTGCTGTCCCAGAGAGTGAAAATTTTTAAAATCTGACTTCTGTCTCCAATTTGCGGGGTTTGCAGGTAATTTTGACCAGCACAGATTTGATATACTGATTCCCACCAAATACACATAGTTCAGAAGTGCTTGGGCACCACGCTGAACATTAAAGATTTGGAAAGCATTTCTCGGAGATCTGAGATCCAAAGGACCATTCAAAACAGAGCTCTGGCTACACTGCCTGCACTGGCTAACCCAGGCTCTCCCTAAGGTACAAAAGGCAATTACTGTATTGCCCAAAGGCTCTATTTAAGAATCATTTAAAGATTCTTGTGTGGAGGCTTTTACCTTGATAACCACAGAGTATTTCAGAGTAAGTAAGTATTTTGTTTCTAACACTTTGAAAGTGTGTTGAGCCTCTATGGAGCTGTAGATAAAATTTCCAAGCTTCAGATTTGCTTTCTGCTTCAGTATGAGATGGTGGGTGGAAACAAGAAAATGCCCAATTTCTTGACATGCTTGAAGCTCAATTAAGAGTCAGTAAGTCTTAGAAGGAAACACAGAATTCTGTATTTTCTCTTTTGAGTACTTTAGTATTATGGCCTTTCTTTCTTTCTTTCTTTCTTTCTTTCTTTCTTTCTCTTTCTTTCTCCTCTTTCCTTCCTTCCTTCCTCCCTTTTTTTTAATGGAGCTTTTTGCTGCTCTCATATCCTCTGAGATAGGGTCTCCCTGTAGCCCCAGCTGGTCTTGAACTCACAGAGATCTGCCTGCCTCTGCTTCCTGACAGCTGGGATTAAAGGTGTGCGCCACCATGCCTGGCCTTCAAAATGTCTTAAGCAAGAGGATCCCAGAGCCAGGGAATGAAGAAATAGAGAGAGCTTATATATATATATATATCTCCATTATTGGAGCAGCCAAACAGACAAAGCAAATACTAAGGTATTTGAAGGAGGGTAGGGCAGGAGAGATGACTCAGTAGTTATAAGCACTGGCTGCTCTTGCAGAGGATCGGGGTTTGGTTCCCAGCACCCACTAACAGCTAACAACCATCCATAACTCCAATTCCAGGGGATCTCATGCCCTCTTCTGACTTCTGTGGGCATTGCATGCATATGGTGCACTTATATACATGCAGGCAAAGCACTCATTTACACAAAACAAAAATAAGCAAATAACTAATTAAATAAAAATTTAAAAATATCTTAAGGTAATGTTGGACTGCTGGCCCATTGTCTTTGACATATCAGTTTAAGAACAAAACAGACTTACTTGCTAGCCAGCAAAAGTGTCTGGTATAATTACCACTAAGGAATTTTATTTTGACTATCAAATTGAGTTGGAAAGGGGCTTTACAGTTTCCACTGATCACCTACAATCCCTGATAACACCTATCAGACAAATGCTAATGTTTTCTCCAGGTCCTTCACAGTGGCCAAAACATAGGAAAATTAAAAATAAAAAAGGAGTCCTATTGCCAGTGTCATTTCACAGAGATCTAGTTAATGAGATTTAAATGACACTTGATGAGCGTGAACATTTATTTTTAATGTGCTCTTGGAAGCCAGAATCACATTATATATAAGCATCAAGCATCATTAAAATCACATTTTGACAGTTTTCTTTGTTCTCCATTTTCAGTCCTTACCTGTCCTTGTAGCAGCGCCAGAGCAACATCAAGTCACTGTGGCTTTCTTGCTGAAAACCCACGCTGTGGGACAGAACCAGAGCATACCACTGGAAAAAAGGGCCCACAGGTCTCTAGTGAAGTTATGGTACTAGAGATGGCCTCTCTTAACTGGAGGGGCATGAGCCAAGATTCCCAGTGGATGCCTGAAACCCTGTATATAGTCTAAACCCCGTGTATCCTATGAGTTTTGATCTGATAACTGAAATGGATTCTAAGTGACCATCATCAGGCAGGTAGCATGCAATGTGGACACAAGAGACAGAAAGATGTTTCACATTCCCCAGTGTGATAGAGTGGGACCCTGTGATCACACTCCCAGAACACTGTATGTATTAGTTACTTTTCTGTTGCTGTGATAAAATACATGACCAAGGCAGCTGACAGAAGAAAAGAGTTTATTTTGGCTCACAGTTCCAGAGGGATAAGAGTCCATCATAGTGGAGAGGCATGGCAACCAGTGGCAGAAGCTGATAGCTGAGTGTGCAAATCTTCAACCACAAACAGGGAGCAAAGAGAGCCAGAAGTGGGACAAGGCCATGAACTGCCAAAGCCCACCTCAGTGCCAAATACCTCCAGCAAAGCTCCACCTCCTAAAGATTCCATGACCTCCCAAACATGCCACCAACCTATGGGAGACATTTTTTATCCAAATCACCAGATTGTATAATTTAAAACTTATGGATTGCTTGTTTCTGTCATTGTTGATCTCTGTCATTTTCTTGTTTAATGTTTTCTGCTGCGGATTTCAAGGATCTGAAGTTATAGGAAAGTGGAACTGAGAGGATTACTGCACTTTGCTGGGGAAAATGTATTCCTTTGGCTGGGAAAATGTGTTCTATGACAGGACAGGAACAGAATTTAAAAAAAGTTTGTGTGTGTGTCTGTAAGTGTGACTGGGAGGTGGGGGGTGGTATGGGTGTGTACATGTCCATGTATGCATGTCTGTGCATGTACACATGTATGTATGTGACAGTGTAGGTATAGGCCAGAGGTTGACATTGTTTTCTATTACTCTTCACCTTTATTTTTTGAGACAGTATCTCTCACTAATCCTACAGTTTAACAATCCAGCTTGATTAGCTGACCAGCAAGCCCTGGGGGACCTCCTGTCTCCATCATCCCTGTGCTGAGATTACAGACATGCATCATGGAGCCTGGTTTTACATGTGTGCTAGGGATCTACACTCAGGTGCACATCTTGCAGAGCAAACACTTTTACCATCTGGGCCATCTCTCTAGCCCTGTCAAGGTTTTTTTTTTGAGTATACATAACAATTTTTTTTTCTCTCTGTAGCAGTTATCTAATTTTGTCTGCCCAATA